GATGGGTTAAATTTCTCAGTGCGACACATGACTATGCCCTAGAGCAGTTAGCCATGGAACCAACCAGAGGGGGCGGCATCTTGGATTCTGTCCTCGGCAGGGATGCCCAGGCCATAGCATAGGATGTAAATGTTGTTCAGCCATTAGGCACCAGTGACCACACTGGTATCATATTTAATATGCAGTTAGGTGGAAGATTGTCAAAGAGGCTGAACACAGCTGTGTTTGACTTCACAAGAGGCAATGTCTCAGAACTGAGGGAGCTGATAAAGAGGCTTGGAGAGAGGAATCAGTCAAAATTGGTTCAAAATCTGGCCAGGGCGACTTCTTTTATATTTTTTATTTTATATTGTTAATTTTAATTTTATATTGTTATTTTTGTATTTTATTGTATTTTATTGTGTTGTAAGCCGCCCCGAGGCTTTGGCAAGGGGCAGCATAGAAATGTTTTAATAAATAAATAAATAAAATGCTTGGAGAGTACTCAAAAACACTAAAGGAACAGATAATGTGCATGCCACTGAGAAAAGATAGGATAAAGTCCAGGAAATCACCAACATGGTTAATGCATGGAATTAAGGAAGCTGTTAGGGAAAAGAAAACTTGCTTCAAAAAATGGAAGTCTTGCCCAAATGGAAAAAGAACAGACGGGGCCACAAGTTTGCACAAGGGAGATGCAAGATGCAATCAGGGAAGCAAAGAACAATTTGGGGGACACATTGCTAACAATACCAAGGCTAACAATGGCTTAAATATATCCAAAGAAAGAAAGAGGCTAAGGAAGGAGCTGGGCCACTGGATGATAATGGCATTAAAGGAGCACGAAAGGGGATGTGGAGACTGCAGAGATGCTGAATGGATTCTGTCAGTCTTCGCAGCAGAGGATGAAGAGCAGATTCCCGTCTCTGAGCTCATGCATTCTGGAAGGGAGTTAGAGGAATTAGGGCAGAGAGTAGTAACAAAAGATGAAATTCTCAACCTTACTGACAAACTGAAAGTCAGCAAGTCACTCAGACCAGATGGTATCTGTCCTAGAGTCATCGAAGAACTCAAGCATGAAGTCGCTGACCTTCTTGCCACAGCATTCTGCACCGGGACCGATGCTTTTCAACCTATTCGTAAATGATTTGGAATTAGAAGAAAGTACCGCGGTAACCAAGTTTGCTGATGATACCAAACTATTTAGGATGGTTAAAAACAAAAGAGGTTGTAAGAAGCTCCAGGGGATCCCCGACAACTCGGAGATTGGACATCAAAATGTCACATGCAGTTCAACATAAGCAAGTGTGAAGTAATGTGCAAAACTCCCCAACTTCACACACGTGTTGATGGGATCTGAGATGGCGAGGGAGGATCTTGGGGAAGTGGTGGACAGCGCAATGCAAATACCGGCCCAGGGCACAGCTGCTTTGCAGAAGGCAAATTCCATGCTAGGCATAATTAGGAAAGGAAAAGAAAATAGAACTGCCAAAATCTTATTTCTCCTTATATAAATCTTTGATACGACAGCACTTGGAATACTGTGTTCATTTCTGGTCACCTTACCTGAAAAATGACATTATTGAGTGGGAAAAGTGCAGACAAGGGCAACAAAAATGATCAGGGAGCTGGAACAGCTCTGCTGTGAGGGGCAAGTACGATACCGAAGACTGTTCAGCTTAGGAAAAAGGGGAGTAACGGGAGACATGACAGCGGGGTTTAAACTAATGCACAGTGTGGAGAAAGTGAAGAGGGGGCCATTTTTCTCCTCCTACAACACTGGAAGCCAGGGTCATTCCATGAAGCTGACTGGTGGGAGGTTTAGGGGAGATAAAAGGAAGTCCTCCTTAAACTGTGAAATTTGCTGGCACGGGAAGTGGTGACGGCCACTAATCTGGATGACTTTAAGCAGGGACTGAACAGATTCATGAGGGAGGAAGGTATCTGTGGCTCCTAGCCTTGCTGGCCGTGGGCTCCCTCCTTCACCAGAGGCAGCCTGCCTGCGTGCACCAGCTGCTGAGGAGAAGGGCAGGGGGAGGCCTTGCACGCATCCTCTGGAGGGATCCTGGGGGCAGCTCGTGGGCCACCCTGTGAGTGGGGTGCTGGGCTGGATGGACCTTGGCTCTGATCCAGCAAGGCTTTTCTTACATTGTGATTCAAAGGCAAGAAACTGAGCTCCAGGGAACACCTGGGAAAGGATGTGAGGCATTCTCTCATGTTTGCAAGAGAAGCCACCCATGGAAACCCTTGCAAAGATAGTCTTCCAATTTCGTCATGCAGAGTTGCCTTAGGTCACTCATCAGTTTGTAGGTGTAAGAAGAGTGAAACTGCTGAGCTGCTGGCCAAAAAGATTTTCTGTTCCACAAGCAGAAAATCCAAACGGCAGATGCTAAGACAGCCTTCCCCATGCGGTGCCTGGGGGTTGCTGGGCACTGGAGACCAGCACATCGGGAAGGGCCCAGACTGGTAAAGGCTGAGCTAATTAATGTGGGGCAACCCTCCCCCCACGGAACCAGAGCTCGGCAATTTCATCACTTTTGCGCAACTTCCATTTATTTCACGGGGCCTCTGCAGGGTGAACTTCTCCGTGCAGTGAGTCACATGGATTAGATCTCTGTCGCCCTTAATGGTATCCAAACTCCATCCATAGTACTGTGTCTATAAACTCACAGTTCTGTTGCTGTTCAGTCACAAAGCCATGTCCAACTCTTTGCAACCCCACGGACAACATTCCCCCAGGTTCTCCTATCCTCCACCATCCCCCCACACCCACCTCCCCGCAGATATTGGATCCTAAAAAGCAAAAGCAACAGGAATGAGAATAAAGGCCGATGCAGCAAGCAGATGTGTGCCAGCACAATGGCTATTTGTAAATTCAGACACCAACAACAATATCCTCAGTCAGGAACAAATAAAAATGAGAAGGAAAAAAAGGAAGCATGCATGCTCGCTCAGAATGCACCCAAGCCCTTTAAATTTGTTTCTGTCCACAGAAATATCTTCATTACAGTGCTGGAATTCAACCAGGATTGAGAATCTTGATAGGCATTTACCACAATTCCACAGAAAAAAGAAGAGATCTATTTACATTCCCCCAAATGTTTAAATAGAAGATTCTGTTCAAAACACTTTCTTAAAGAGAAGGATATCTAGTTGTAAAATCACACCATAATAATCTACGTTACTAATTCTATGAGAGCTATAAACAGGGCAATAAGGCTGCTGTATTCTTAGATGCAAAATAAGGAGCCGACTTGTTTTTATTTTTAAAAAAGTATATCAGTGTCTCCTGAAATATCTTGCCCCAGTAAAACAAAACACAACATACTCACATCCCACGTAAGTAAACATGAGACCTGACATATTTTCTTTTGTAGTGTAAACATGGCTAAACAACCCATCTGGAACTATTCTATCTATTTTGTCATCTTAGGTCTCAGCAGTAACTAAGCAAGCAAAAGACTGCAAGAGAAAAATCTTTGCTGCTCCCTGTGATTTCTCCCGTTTTTATTCTGAATAGACACATGCCTTAAAATCCAGGCATGAACAAATGATTTCTGGAATATTTTCTAATGCACACAGTGGCAGTAAAATGGTCATGCATACAGAGTTTTTTAGGTCTATGTTTCCATAGAGCTTTTAGGTCATGAGGCTAAAACAGTGTGCACATAAGCAGCATTTGGAAATGTTTCTGAGAGAGAGGGAAGCCTTTGTTTTAACTTTTTAGAAGTCAAAGTGCACCTAACGGAGGATAGGCAGATTAGAAGTTTTAAAGATGAGACCAGCCCAGTGCTTGCTTTGGAGCTGGGATGCTCCAAAGTGAAAGGCAACCCTTTAAAGTTGGGCAGAAAAGCTTGTCAACCTTAAGGAATGCCACTTTTTATCGGGAAGATGCGAGACTAAAGCCATCAGCAAAATATTGGCGTACCCCTGGAGGATGCTGCCTATTAAAACCTGCACTCACAACCTTCCACTGTACCGTCAAGGAAATCGAGTATTACTCGATCACAAACTCTTTGCATTTTGTAGGATACATCTCTAGACCAAAATTAGAAGAGCTGCTTGAACAAAGCTTGCGGAACACCAACCCCAACGTTCAAGATGCAAGCATGCGGAAACCCTTTGCCTGCCACAGCCTCAGAAACGCGCAAGCTCTTAATTAACAAACCGCTTCTTGCCAGAGCACCCCAAACGCGGACAAACCACCCCCGTCGGAGGCCCCCCAACCTCAGCATCACCCTCCCCAGAGCTCCGAGAAGCCGGCTGCCGGGCGAGGGCTTCCGACGGGAACGGGGCCGCCCCCCCGTCCGTGCGCAGGGCTCACCCGCGGCGGCTCCGGGCGCTCCCGAGGCGGCCGGGGGGCCTCACCCCGTGCGAGTCCGGCGCCTGGCACGGCCGCTCCCGGCAGACACAAAGGCGGACTGGATCGGCTGCGCGGCTGCGGGCGGAGGGGGCGGGAGGCAGGGAGGGAAGGGCGGGGGAGGAGATGAGATGGGCCGGGCCGGGCCGGGCCGAGGCGGCCGGGATGACGGGCGGGAGGCGGCGAGGCGGGTCTCGGGCGCGGCGGGCGCGCGGGCAGGGCCCGGCGCCGGGAAGATGCGCCCGGCCGGAGGCTGCGCGGGGCCGGC